AATTAACAACTATGTAAATCACTTTTGTAATCAATGTGCACCATCTCTTAAATAGTATATTAATATACAACGTTGTTTAATGTTGGAGGATTTGTCTCCCTCTCCTGACTGCTCAAATGGCCATAGCTGTATATAGGACGTACAGCACAAACAACTCAATTTGTTACACAGGTAGGGGAGAAAACACTATATATATTTATGTATCACCGTTACATAAATGTACGTCGATGAAGACCCGTAGTCTAAGACTAATAAACAATAAAAGTTGTTTCTTCATAATAACAGTCTGTATATATGAGCTATTAACATGATTTTGATCTCTTCCCTGGGCGCTTTTAAGAGACACATTTGACACTATCAAGTGATCCGGAACATAAGGTAAAATAAGAAATCAATATAGATATGCAGGGAAATCAAATGGGACTAAAGCAATATCGAAAATAGGTATTGTACATCCGAATAGGTAAGAATTATTAAAATTAATGGAATTCGCTGTTTCGTGTGTTTGGTTTTTAGTTATTAATAGAGTTTTGCAATAGTTGTCAGTATCCTTGAGTAAATCATGTTTGTTCTGCGGAGGACAATATTTCATACAAAAAAAATGTTGTCCGTAAGGCATTTATCATTTCAACATAAAAACTATTTATAAATCCAAGTACATAAACAATGACACTTATTGTAATAGGCGTTTTATCATACTTATTAAAGTTGAAGGTGTTGTGTGTGCGTGATTACTTGTAATGATATACCTTACGCTACATCTTACAATGAGATTGTCGTTATGATATCCTTCTATATGTGTCTTTCCTCGACGTTCGTTAGATACACGTGACCAATATGGAACACTCGTTCTGGTTATGTTTATCCATCACGCGCTGGCCTTTACTATTATGTCGTCACATTTAGATGATGACGGCGTTATATTATAACGCCACAGTCGAAAGCTTTTCACAAAGTCGGTTGACTGCGTGTAACAAAATTTCCGTCGGCAAGTGACAAAGCCTCAGGAAAACGAGGTTTATTGCACAAGCTTGGACTTAAGGTCTTGTATTGTTTTATATTTAAAACTGCGGTATACTCTTAGTATGCGGTACATGTACTTTCTGTTATTTTTCCAGATATGACATTTGTTTTTACATACGAAGGTTAACAATTTTGCTATTTTAAATGTTATTTTAGTAACAATACGCAAAATGGTGGGAACAGACGATTAAATAATTATGATAATAGTCGTATGTAGGATATTGCCATTCTACCATCGGGTGAATTCTTACTCAAATTTTACAGCCTCAGGTAGAATATCTATAACCAACATACCGTGACTTGAACGACTCTATTACATTTCTGATTACATCAAATTAAAGAAAATCTCGTCCAGTATCAATGTTAAATATTTAATCAAAGCAAATGCCAGCTAATCCAACGTGAAAATGTCAAAGACCGATTTAAGAGACTGAGCTGTTCAGCCTACATGAATACCGTAGCGTCATCAAACAACGACAAAATCAGAACTCAAATTCGATATGAAAATATATAGTACACAAATGACATTATATATAAAAAAACGCTTGAATAAATAAAAAAAGGTTCGTTCTCTGTACCAATTAGGCTACCCGAATTCCTATTATAGCAAGACATCAATGGTTATATTTAACCGGTGTCCAAAAAATGTGTATAAATGAGTGGATCATTTATTTATTGTAGAATAAACGAAAAAATTGTTGCAATGAGTGAATCAGTTATTGGTTGCAGAATAAACCCAAAAATGTGTGCATACATGTACATTTTAGCGAGATTAAGGCGGTTTTTATTATGCATTTGTAAATATTTCTTTAGACTTAGTATTTTGAGTACTGTATAACGGGAAACTTTCGCTTAATCATGCTTTTGCCCTCACTTGTAAAATCTGTATTCCTTCAGCGTTTATTTTGCCTTTCACATGTAACCGATGTGCCGTAAGGACTAGAAGCGCCGTTGTGAATGGCGAACATTTCACAGCTAGATTTCATTTTCAGACCTCTGCAAACGAAATAGAAAAGGAGTAGAAGATATGCCGAACTATTAGGGAAGTAGGATACAAAGATTATTTTCAAGTGGTTTGTTTACCGTTTTAAAATATGGATTGTGAGCTCTTATGTTATTTTTAATACCTGCATATGTTGTATCGTACAGGAACGCAGAACACAAATAAATATGTCTGATAACTGGTAGACAGATAATAACTATGGGTTGATAACTGACATTTTTATTTCTGATTATTACGATCCTGTCTGGGGGACGGAGTTGGGGAGCTTTTCGTTTTTAAAAAGTGCAGAATTATACCCATTTATTTCATTTTGTCCTTTGCTTAAAGTAATACAGACAACAAAAGTGTCAAGAGAACTCCAAAGATCGATGTCAAATGTGTAAATCGTGTGTCAGTCAAATGGAAATAAACAAATGTGTATGTAAGGGTGAACGCTGTATCTGTATTGCAAAATTTACAAGGAGAGAATAAGTCCAGGTGCTCAGGAGAGACGAGTGTCTTCTGCTTTGTCGACGACTACTTCCATGTCAATCTAGTTACGATCTAACACTAATGTCACGTCTTCACATCGAGAACTCGTGTAGTGATAAAACAGTTACAAGGCTCACTAATGACCATACTAAAAACATCGACCTTCATATCACAAAAAATAGCATATTTAATTGTGAAACTATGATGGCAACCATATAACTCGTCAAGAGCCTTCATTGACCTACATCGCTAAAGTCGTGATATTCAGAGCAACTCTTACATAGCGGATACATTCGACATGTAAACACCGTAGGCAGATAATGCTTAATAGTCAAGAAAATTGTGTGTTGAATCATGTACAAGTTCAGGGACCCCTAGAGACCGGTGTCTAAAGTCAATGCTTTCCCAACTAATTCTCACACTTTGTGAGTGGCACAGCAGACGTTAAATATGAATGTTTCATTAACTGTTAACCAATCTTAATAAATCCCTAATCATAAAATCATATGGCATGGTCAATTAAAAATAATATATCATACATAGCAATTTGTCTATTGTGACATTGGTGTTTTTGCGGCGGATTGGAAAATCAGTAATAACCTGTTGGATGGACTTAACAACCAAACATGTAATGGGTCCTGCATTCTGTTTGATCATATGATCCGAAGGCGTCCACAGCCTTATTGGTCAAGACTAGTTTGCGTTCTTCCCAATTTGCAACAGACAATTGGGACAGCCTACAAACCATTCTTAATAACATTGATTACGTATTGTTATATTAAGGTGTGATCTAAAATCAAGTATGGTAATATCTCTTCATTTTAGTTGAGATGCATTCAACTCTCTGCCAGTACCAATAAAGGTATTCATGATGTATATAATGTTTAGTTGTTAATTTCTCAATTATCGCATAGGTAACGTTCCAGGGTCAAGTTCTGTCTAGTACTTTATTCCACGAAACACTGCAATAGGTTATCTATTTTTTGTTAGCTGAATCAGGTCAAGAGTGTTTTGAAACACTTCAAAGTAAACAATGTAGATAGTGAGAGATAGGACTAAAACAAACAATACAGTTACACACTGATCATCGACAGAAGCAGTATGGTGTACAGATCTTCCATTGATCCTAATTATGATTTTCAAAATAATATTAGCTATGTAATATTTAGCTTGACAATGTTCAAAGGGTTAACGTTATCGTATAAAATACATGAGAATACTGATGTATAAACAAATTTAAAATTAAAATCAAATTACATGGAAAAGGGACAAAATATACATCAAATAAAGAGCACAACGAGGATCCTCAATAGGTGACCAGGAAAGTAAGAGAGGATGTCCCGAAAAAGTTATCATATTCTCCTTCATCACTGTTAACCATTATGTAAATATAGGTAAAACAATAAAAATGAAACGTCATGGCACACTGATGAGCATAATACAAAACGTCGCACCAGGAAATAATTTCCCAAACAGGCTACGATGACGTCAATAAAACTCGCCAACGATTCCTATGTGACTGCGTAAATTCATGTTATGATAAGGTATTTCTTTCTGATTTCTTAGTTAAGACAAAGGTCATAGATAATGAGATGGGTGAAACATATTTCAACTTGAAATAATTGAATTGTGTGTAAACTAATATTAATTACATAATTTGTATGCATACTTCCGGTTGCTGCGTTCATTTCTAAGTTTGCATATAATAATTGCGGTCAAGTGCCTGTGATTGAGAATATGATTGTTTGCTTTAGTATGCACACATAGGCCAACCAGAGACGTATACTACTAGCTATATACGTATCAGGCCACACTGATTATGCTTGTGGACTCTTTCTCAGATCAGAGCACAAACGTATCCCATTATAAACATTTCAGGTTTTATAACCGTATCTTGTCTAATCACATTAATTTACTGTGTAACGGGGAATTTTCACTGCAGTTTAAATTGTGCCTTTCAACATAATATACATAGTTAAGGGCAAATATCATTTTCGGCGGAATATGTTCTACCGTCGAAAGGCAAATATTTTCGTGTGTACAGTCATGATAGTACGGTAAACCTTCAAAATCTTGTAAACCTTATCAGTAATTGCCATATGTTAGATCGCTGGAAATTGTGAAAGTGGCCATATGTCCTAACGAGTGGAATGTATGCGCCAAATAAGTCACCACAATTACTATGTTGTATAATACATTTTTGCATTATGTTTTACTTCTTACATCAAACATTGTATTTTATTTAGTAGTTGGTAATGCAGTGATGCATGTCGACACCCACACAGCGTTTGTTATATATACAAATAAATGAATAATACTATTCTTTATTTCGGAGTTATTCAAATTGAGGGCAAATAATCACAATTTACGTCAACCGAAACACTTAATTTATACCGTTAAAGCAAATAGATACACATGTGACAAATGTATAACTTAAGTCTATGACGTAGTAATTAGAAACACATTGTTTATAAAATGCTTATATACAGATACTACAACACTATTTTGTATGACAAAATGATTTATTCAACAATTTATCAATTACAAATCAGAGATACAATGCTTATTCAGGACGAATTTACAAAAAAAACTCAGATTCACAAGTTGAAAATTGAAAATGTCCATCTTCGTGCACTTCAAAAATATTAGCAATGATCATACACGTATCTTGTGCCGCGCGGGACTAAGGTCGAAGGCTAATAGTGTTATTAAGATTAATTTGCCTCATTGAACACAATGAAGAATACTATGAACAACACCACTTGACACGCGTTTTCCAAAATTTAATAGATGAAATGAAGCAATATGCTCATCAAGATAAAACTCCACAAGCTACTAGCAACTGGAAAGGTATCTACAAAAATGAAGATAAAAAATATTGACATCAACAGCAAAACATGTGTCAAATGATGATATTCATGGACATGCAATACAGTGTATGTATGGTGTAAGTGTTACCTTGCGTAAAATTGAATATCAAATGGCATCAATCGCAATGTGTTGATCATGATATTTATCGAAAGAATAGTGTACATAATAATCAAAAATTAGCATACGATGGGGTTTTTATGATAAATAACTGATATTATGACTATCAACAAATCAAGTAATGGAAGGAGGATTCTTAATCAATTACTTTCAAATATAGAATTGCTTTTGAATAACATTGAATTGCTTTTGGAGAAAAGGCACGGTATGCAAAATCGGCAACTTACCTGCTGCACCACTCACTGGCGTATCGAAAACATTATCACGGACGCTTAATTTCAATGCTGCATAATGGACCTCTGGTTGGTGCTTGCCTCCTTTTCTCTTTCTCTTGGCGACAGTCTATCAAACATATAATCGTTTAACTGCATCCTTATCAGTTATGAGTAAAATGTTTTTGGTGTGATAACAAGTGTTAAATCTGATATATTAATAATACAGATTAGAAATTCTTTGAAGAACAAATATATAGTGCAAATTAAGACACGTTCATAAAGTGTTCATAAAACAAATCTTATTTATAGCTATTTTCATTGTAAACATATCGAATACTGATGCTATGTTTGTATCAATACTTAAAGAGTGCATCTAGTGGTTTTTAACTTGAGAGTAAATGAACGCAGAATGAAACACAGATAATGCTACAAAAACTACAGGAAAATTTGGTTGCGGTATAAGAAGCTATCTAGGATTTTACTACGCTGTCGACATTTGTATTTGTCTAAAAGGGTCATTAGCAAATCACATGACACTCATGTAATATTGTTACGTCTCAAAGTGAACCCCGTCGAGGAACATGGCTAAGAGTTGATGTTCAGCAATCGAACACGAAAACATCGCATATTTTATGTCCAAGGGATGATAACCCAACAAAACATTTTGACCCTGGAAAGGTTCTGACATATGAGCCCAGCTTGTAGTTGAACGTAAGTGTCATGCACGAACAACCTTTTGTCACACGTCCTGTAAAATACACTTATGTCACATACCAACAACAAACATAAACTTTAAGAAGGGCTCATTTTCATGTCATACATTTAAGGTCCTCCTTGCAAGATGAATGCTAATTATGTCTCAATTATCTAATATTTACATGTTAAAAAGAAATCAAAATTAATGTTGATATTTACAAATATATATATATAGGTACAAGGTAGGTAAATTTCAATGAACTTACAAATTATCACACTGAATTCATGGTTTGTCGTGAGAACAATTTTACATGCGGAGGCCTCTCGATTTTATCCACGTGCGAGCGATAAGAAAATAGAGTTCGATAAAAAATGTATCATCAATATTCTACTACCTTAGATATTTCTCCTATAAAATAACAAAATTCCATATCTTTATCATTAATATACACGATCAATGACAAACGTAAACATTTAAAAAAGTTAAATGCGGAAAAATACCATTACCATTACATCTCAGCAGAATCAAGTATGATATATTGGAATAGGAGGACTAGATATACATTTAAAGTATATTTTAATATCATTTTCCATACAGTATATGTCTCCGTTATTGCACACGCTGCATGTGTATATAAACAACATAAAAAGCCAACAAGCAGTTATTTTGAAACTTTGAACACGTAAGTCTGAGTTTCTGCCAGCTTTACATTGTATCTAGATTCGTCTGTAAAATATGAAAATGCACGAGCCTGTGCTCTTTATCTTTGTATTTCCTTTCAAGATCATATGCTAGTATAATGGACACAAACATCCCAAATAAAGTTATGTAATGATGTAAATTGATTTGATATGTTAAGAGATAAAGAAATGCTATTTTCATCATTATGTACGTCTTATGAAAACGCGAATACAGAAATTAGAAAATTTTGGACAGTTGAAATATGAAGGACGAATAAAGTGATCACTGAAACCAAATATCAAATATTATAAATAAATGGTCTTTCCATAAATTCTGAGATTGGAAGAAACCCGGTTTAAGGGGATATAACTCTGACAGTCATATGCTCAGCAGTATGTCAACCCACCGTTACAACAAAACATGATTTGCGATTAGATAAATAAATTTAATTTCATGTATCACTTATTATATGGATTTTTTGTTTTCATATTTGTTCGTGCATAGTGCAGGATGTTTTTAATGGAATTTGCGTTTGGATAAGAAATTCATAACTCACAAATCATATAACATGTATTATTGTCAAAGTGATTTGAATCAAGCTAACTACGTACCTTGGAACTCCTTTATATTTTGCTAACACCTCGTTTTCCTGGGTGTGTATTGTGTGCTGTCGAGACATATGCGTCGTTTAAACCTGTCATAATTTAAGCTGGATTATGGGAACTGATTTTAAGATCAAGTCATTGTATCAGAGACCAAATCATGTCGTTGTTAATCCAAATGATAATAATAATAATAGGAGCCCGAGCGAGGCTCTTTAATGGTAATACATGCATGCGTATACAGAGTTGCTTCCCCTTTATACACGTTGCCTTTAATTTTTTTTTCGCGCGGCAGTAGACGTCCAGCGGGGAAAGAGGAAGTGTAAAGTGAAGCAAAGACAATTGTGTTTCAATCCATACATGAATATCTTAATATAGTGATAACAATCTTCATGTTTTATAACTTGTTTATTTAGATAAAAAAACATTATACTTTCTGAGTGAAAAACGTTTATCACATAAAATGTGATGCTAACAGGCATGAAACTTCGATCAGAGATTATCATACTATGACGTCACAAGCACGTCACAATCCATCAGCCTTCATCGGGTATTTCCGGAAGAATGAAAAGTAACCGGAAAATTCTGAGACTGATGTCCGTTGCATTTATCTCTTTTTCGGTGCTTCAAGACTTTTTTGTTTATTTCAGTTTTTTTCCGAAGGCACAGAAAGTAAAAATGCGGATATTTTCTGAAGATCTTTTTTTGTCATCAACCCGGTTTTGTTGATATTTCTACCAGGACATATCTTCAAAATAGAGATCATTTAAAATTTTATCACCTTTTGATTTCCATTTGTTGAGAATAAGAACGTAATAATTGACATTTTTGAAAGTCTGGAAATAGTCTTTACATTATTTATGCATCACCACTCATAAAAAAGCAATGGAAAATGCATTTATGGCGAAATTAACAATAATTGTCCAGCCAACAAACCCAAGTGCAACGCCCTTTTTCAGCAACGTATTACTTTTTCACGATTTATAACTAGTTACAGACAGTAATTGTAATTTTATTTGGCATCATTTCCTGTCAAACCTCTGTGACAGTTACAAAATTTGAAATTAAATCCGTTGTTTCAGGACGGAACAGTAATTGAGACTACATATCCATATCAAGACAATTTCAGTTACATTAAAGTGTTAAAATGTTGCTTTTTTTCTTTTTTTTTAACCAACATCTATATAGATTTACTTAGACTAATTGTCAAATATGTAATATTCACATTTTTCTATAGTAATTACCCAATAGTTTTCCCCCAGCTTATCTCAATCATTCTTTTCGTGCGCTGACGGAAGCACACAGAGGGTTTGATTCTTAATATGGGAGGAAGCTGGAGTGGGGTCGGGCAGGTGACCGGGATTGAATCCCGCCATCTTGGTGAAGACGAGCGCGCTATCCACTGCGCCACTGACCCATCATATACGTTACGCACAAGGACACATATCTACTTTGACTGGAAGAAAATGGCGTCATTGATGCAAAAAATATATCGTGAATATACATTTTTACCATCTTCAATGATATAAAAAAAATCTACATACGGGAGACCTGGGCACGTTCGGCCATCCCTGATTTCTTTTGATTTTGAGCTAATATTTACAAGTTTAAGGATCTTAGCAGTTTAGTTGGCCGGGCACTCATCGACGAAAAAAAGGCGAGGAAAACTCTAATGTATAATGACTTTACAGGAGAAAATCACTTTGAGAGTTTAGAAAGAAAATCATGATATTGCTTCTAGTTATGCGAACTTTTTTAAAACGGAATTGCTACTTTTTTGCAGTCAAACGTGTAAGACACTGACAGCTTCAAATGATAATACATAAAAGCCAAGCCAATCACTCACTACCATATTGCTGTACGATACGAATTTATTGAAATATCAATTTGGGCCCGGACAGTTTCGGCCAATGATACCGTGGCAAGTTCGACCCATGTAACACATAACAAGTCGTAAAATTGGCGTAAAATTTGACGTTGCTTGCTTTTTGACGTCATAATTAAGCTGATTCAAATGGGGCCGAACTTACCCGAATGCCTGCCGAACTAACCCCATGGCGAGGCTTGTTCGGCCATCCGATCTTCCGATCGGAAAGTTAAATGATGTTGTACAAAAACGGACGTGCTGCCATACTTCCTAGAACGGACTTTAAAAAAGGGCTGAACTTCCCCCGGTCTCCCTATTGTTATGTCTGTCTTAATCTCATTAGAGCTTTTGTTTTATTGCTATTCCTCGAACAGCCGACTTTAGATGAACTTTATCTTATCTCATTCTAAAAGTTGTATTCTTAATCAGTAAATATCAGAGATCAACAAACCCTACGCTCTTTTAAGGCTTTGCCTTTTCATATATATTAATTCGAAGTTCTTATATACCGTTTTTTCACAACCTAGTAGTCGTCTCAAAGCGGTTCACAAATTATTATCCCTAGTTATAGGGCCTTTGCAACCAGCCAATATCTTTCTCAACTCCCTGGTGAGCAGACAGCCGGGGCTCCCATTTCGGCGCTAACAGCTAGCATTCAACAATATTAGCACTGCCCAACCACGTACTCATTTACCGTTGAGTAGACTGGAACAAGTGGAGTATAGTATCTTACTCAACGATACAACAAAGAGCCGTGCCGTGACTCGAACCCGCAACAATTCGGCCCGAGCCCGGCGTCCTACCACTAGACTACTGTGCCTCCTAAATAATGATTCGAGGTTCTTATATACCGCTTTATCCTAGTTCGTAGGTCGTCTCTAAGCGATTTACAAATTATCCGTGGTTATAAGGCCTTTGAAACTAGCCAATATATGTCTCACTCCCTGGTAAGCTGAGTAAAATATCTTGCTCAAAGACACAACACAGTGTCGTGCCGTGACTCAAACCAGCAACCCGTCGGTCACGAGCCCGGCGTACTACCACTAGACTACCGTGCCTCAAATGATGACATGAACCTGATCACTCCGAAGTGAAATGGTCGTTGCCGATCTCTCCCTGTCGCTTTTCCTCATTCCCGTGTAATCGTCAGTAGTCGGAAATCAGTGCAGGGGCCTAATTTCCGTTTTTATGTTGCAGAATGCAGTCACCATGCACTGTTTTATCAGCGAATTTCATGTTAAGTTAGCCACCGCTACAATTTATTAGGGAAGA